AACATCAGAGCCCATTGGATAGAAGAGGCGTGCGGTTCAGGAAACTACAGGGGTTTAGGTTGTAGCCGTGTTGGTCTAAGGACATAGGCAGACAAGGTTCTTTGGGTGAATCTGATATCTTTTATTAGACCAACTCAAATAGTTGGCAAACAATTTTTAAGCAAGCTTTTGGGTTCAAAAACCCTTTGTCAGGCAAAGGAAGTTTCAGCAGTTGGTGTGTGCTCTTCTGAATACACGCTGGTTTAGCACAATATACATTTAAAGACTGACCACCTATTTGGCAAATGTGAGGTGAGGCTCAAAGGCCACTGGGGACAATACGGGTGAGTTAGGTTCATTTTGGGTTAAATGAAGTTAGTAGACTGACTTGTGCATGAAACTTTAGACAGATATTGGATGTTTGCTTTGGGAAACATCTTAATCCAAGAGGGGACGTGTTCACCAGGATATATTTTCAGTCACGTTGTCAGTGCACCTTGGCTTATTCCTGTGTCTGACAGGCATCCCTTTGACATGGATAGTTTAGTTCTTTTGTTTTGTTTGGGGACACTTAGCTCAGGTGAGATGTAGGTGTAGGGCGCAGGTTTCTCTTTCTGGTATGCTCTGCGTCTTGTTACATTTATGCAATGAGTGTGTTAGGCCTCTGCCAATACTTTTACCCACCACTTCTCAGGTGTGGTAGCAGGTTGAGGACTATTATTATGACTGTTATTATCTTATGGCATGGGTCTGGTATCGGGTACTGCAAGTACTCCACTCTCTTATGCCTGATGGGTTGCAAGCCATAAGCAGAGTTTGATTTTCTTGTGGCAGTCTTGTTACCTCAACCCAGTCTTGCCCCAGCCACTGTCTTGTATTTTTGTGCAAGACACGCTGTCCAAGCTTTCAGGTTTCATATGCAGCAGGTGTCAGGGCTGAGCAGGCTCTCGGCAGACCTGGGGAGCCTGCAGGCTCCTGCACCCTTGTCCCTACTGCCTCTCGCACCCTGTCCCTGCTGGCTCCTGCCTAGGAAATCTCTGCTGCACTGGGCAGGGTGGCGCTGCCTGGCCCTGCA